TTGATAAATTTACTCTGCCCCAGAGCTGAAAAAGAAGAAAATCCACTAGCACCAATAGAGTTCATTTTCATTTCTAATTCTATTTTATTATATTGTTAGTTCTTATCTATAGGGGCAACTGGGTCTCAGGAGACCTATATTCAAGTTCCCGTTCAGCTATGAAAACTCACGAGGATAGGGGTAGAACGGGTACAAACACTCCTTAAATAATTTGCTTGTCTTGAAAGCCCTATCAGTCACTTATAAATTGGTTCTGGCTTGATGGCACTTAATAACCACAATATGCAGGGGTAGGAGAATAAATTTAATGGAGTGGAAGGGGAGGAATCATCATGCAAAGCAAGTTTCAGAGCCTCTATCCATGTATGCTGGACTAACCAAGATCAGAGTTAGCAACGCTAATTTATTTCAGAGTGGTTTTTTAAAAAGAAAGTTTAACGGCAGACAACCTACGAAGTTTAACCGTCAGAACATGCACACCAATGGGGCTCACTTCTGAATAAACATGCATAGGATTATTTGTCTATCCTGCTCTCAGGTATGCACTGAAAGTCCTCTGTAGCTTGAGCAGACATCCTGAGCAGAGGTATTACACACACCAGCCTTTGTGTTTAGGCTCAGGGCCAGAAAATACATGACAAAAGATACACTCGCTAAACACAAAATGTGCTGAAATGGGACACTTTCAATTTTGAAGGAAAAGCACAGTTTCTTACTGTGTCTCACAGCCCTGGATGAAATGAGGGGGTCTCTGCCTGCTTGCTGCTGACCCTTCATTCCAGGGCTGCAATACATTGTCCTCTCCCCAAACTGAATTTCTTATTTACTTTAAAAAGGAAATTCAAGGCAATTAGGAGGGAGGTCATTTCCGGGGGGGGGGAAGGTGGATACCCTCCAGATGTTCTGAACTTAAATACTGATGATTCCCTCACTGGTGATATTGTATGTACCCTGCAGTCCAAAATTGATGGAGGGCATCATGTTCGACAAAGCCTCCAGGCACCAACCAGTACTGGGGACACGTTCCAGATCAGGGATCCATATTTGCTTTTTCTTCTGAATAAAAGTGACTGAGTTAAACAAAGAAAGAAAGTAAGTCTGCTGTAATATGAAGTTTGACTTCCAGATTCCAAAAGAAAAGTCAGCATTTAAAGCACGTATTATGTACAGGTAATAGTTACAGTTAATAGAGTTTCTATTGTTCAAAGCAATAGAGGTATGTAACCTAATTATAGACTAGTTCTGGAATTCTGGCCTTGTACACTTCCTCTCCCTTTAATACTTGCTGAATATGTCATCCATGAAGGGGAATATATATCCCCTTCATTGATTGCTGCCTTGTCGTGGCGAAGGGGCTTGAGTAACTCAGAGAAGCTATGGGCTATGCCGTGCAGGGACACCCAAGACGGACAGGACATAGTGGAGAGTTCCGACTAAACGCAATCCACCTGGAGTAGGAAATGGCAATGCCACTCCAGTATCTTTGCCAAGAACGCCCCATGATCAGAAACAAAAGGCTAAAAGATATGATGCTGGAAGATGGGCCCCTCAGGTCAAAAGGCGTCCAACATGCCACTGAGAAAGAGCGGAGGACAAGTACAAGTAGTTCCAGAGCTAATGAAGTGGTTGTGCCAAAGCCGAAAGGACGCTCAGCTGTGGACATGCCTGGAAGTGAAAGGAAAGTCCAATGCTGCAAAGAAAAATACTGCATAGGAACCTGGAATGTAAGATCTATGAACCTTGGGAAGCTGGAGGTGGTCAAACAGGAGATGGCAAGAATAAACATCAACATCCTGGGCATCAGTGAACTAAAATGGATAGGAATGAGCGAATTCAGCTCAGATGATTATCATATCTACTGTTGTGGGCAAGAATCCCGTAGAAGGAATGGAGTAGCCTTCATAGTCAACAAAAGAGTGGGAAAAGCTGTAATGGGATACAATCACAAAAATTATAGAATGATGTCAATACGAATCCAAGGCAGACCATTCAACATCACAATAATCCAAGTTTATGCACCAACCACCATTGCTGAGGAGACTGAAATTGAACAATTCTATGAAGATTTACAACACCTTCTAGAACTGACACCAAAGAAAGATGTTCTTCTCATTCTAGGGGACTGGAATGCTAAAGTAGGAACCAAAGAAAAAAAAGGAACAACAGGAAGTTTGGCCTTGGAGTTCAGAACGAAGAAGGACAAAGGCTAATAGAGTTTTGTCAAGAGAATAAGCTGGTCATCACAAACACTCTTTTCCAACAACACAAGAGGCGACTCTATACATGGAAATCACCAGATGGGCAATATCGAAATCAGATTGATTATATTCTCTGCAGCCAAAGATGGAGAAGCTCTATACAGTCAGCAAAAACAAGACCTGGAGCTGACTGCGGTTCTGATCATCAGCTTCTCATAGCAAAATTCAAGCTTAGACTGAAGAGAGTAGGAAAAACCACTGGGCCACTCAGGTATAATCTAAACCAAATCCCTTATGAATACACAGTGGAAGTAAAGAACAGATTTAAGGAACTAGATTTGGTGGACAGAGTGCCTGAAGAACTTTGGATAGAGGCTCGTAACATTGTCCAGGAGGCAGCAACAAAAACCATCCCAAAGAAAAGGAAATGCAAGAAAGCAAAGTGGCTGTCCAACGAGGCCTTAGAAATAGCAGAGAGGAGAAGGGAAACAAAATGCAAGGGAGATAGGGAAAGTTACAGAAAATTGAATGCAGACTTCCAAAGAATAGCAAGGAGAGACAAGAGGGCCTTCTTAAATGAACAATGCAAAGAAATAGAGGAAGATAACAGAAAAGGAAAGACCAGAGAGCTCTTCAGGAAAATTGGAGATATTAGAGGAACATTTTGCGCAAAGATGAACATGATAAAAGACAAAAATGGGAAGGACCTAACAGAAGCAGAAGACGTCAAGAAGAGGTGGCAAGAATACACAGAGGAATTATATCAGAAAGATGTGGATATCCCGGACAACCCAGACAATGTAGTTGCTGACCTTGAGCCAGACATCCTGGAGAGCGAAGTCAAGTGGGCCTTAGAAAGCCTGGCTAACAACAAGGCCAGTGGAGGTGATGGCATTCCAATTGAACTATTTAAAATCTTGAAAGATGATGCTGTTAAGGTGCTACATTCAATATGCCAGCAAGTTTGGAAAACTCAACAGTGGCCAGAGGATTGGAAAAGATCAGTCTACATCCCAATCCCAAAGAAAGGCAGTGCCAAAGAATGCTCCAACTACCGTACAATTGCACTCATTTCACACGCTAGCAAGGTTATGCTCAAAATCCTACAAGGTAGGCTTCAGCAGTATGTGGACCGAGAACTCCCAGAAGTACAAGCTGGATTCCGAAGAGGCAGAGGAACTCGAGACCAAATTGCTAACTTGCGCTGGATTATGGAGAAAGCCAGAGAGTTCCAGAAAAATATCTACTTCTGCTTCATTGACTATGCAAAAGCCTTTGACTGTGTGGACCACAGCAAACTATGGCAAGTTCTTAAAGAAATGGGAGTGCCTGACCACCTTATCCATCTCCTGAGAAACCTATATGTGGGACAGGAAGCAACAGTTAGAACTGGTCATGGAACAACTGAGTGGTTCAAAATTGGGAAAGGAGTACGGCAAGGCTGTATATTGTCCCCCAGCTTATTTAACTTATATGCAGAATACATCATGCGGAAGGCTGGACTGGAAGAAACCCAAGCCGGAATTAAGATTGCCGGAAGAAATATCAACAACCTCCGATATGCAGATGATACCACTCTGATGGCAGAAAGTGAGGAGGAATTAAAGAACCTTGTAATGAGAGTGAAAGAGGAAAGTGCAAAAAACGGTCTGAAACTCAACATCAAAAAAACTAAGATCATGGCCACTGGTCCCATCACCTCCTGGGAAATAGAAGGGGAAGATATGGAGGCAGTGACAGATTTTACTTTCTTGGGCTCCATGATCACTGCAGATGGAGACAGCAGCCACGAAATTAAAAGATGCCTGCTTCTTGGGAGGAAAGCGATGACAAACCTTGACAGCATCTTAAAGAGCAGAGACATCACCTTGCCACCAACAAAAGTCCGAATAGTCAAAGCTATGGTTTTTCCTGTTGTGATGTATGGAAGTGAGAGCTGGACCATAAAGAAAGCAGACCGCCGAAGAATTGATGCCTTTGAATTGTGGTGCTGGAGGAGGCTCTTGAGAATCCCCTGGACTGCAAGGAGAACAAACCTATCCATTCTAAAGGAAATCAACCCTGAGTGCTCACTGGAAGGACAGATCCTGAAGCTGAGGCTCCAGTACTTTGGCCATCTCATGAGAAGAGAAGACTCCTTGGAAAAGACCTTGATGTTAGGAAAGTGTGACGGCAAGAGGAGAAGGGGATGAGATGGCTGGACAGTGTCTGTGAAGCAACCAACATGAAACTGACACAACTACGGGAGGCAGTGGAGGATAGGAGCGCCTGGCATGCTCTGGTCCATGGGGTCACGAAGAGTCGGACACGACTAAACGACGACGAATTGTACTACTAAGCACACACAAGTTTTGTAGTCAGGTAGCTGGGGATTACAGAAATTGTCCTCCAACACAGAAGTAGCGGTTCCCCAGTAGGGGAGCAGTAGACTCCTTAAGCCGTAGTAAGTAGACAAAATAACAAAGCAAAGTTTGCTGCTTCTATATTGTCCATAGAGCTTAAAGCACTCTTTGGGCAGTATACAATTTAATTATGCAGGCTACACATTACCCCCCACCCCCAGCAAGCTGGTTACTCAGTTTACCAGCCTTGGAAGGATGAATGCTGAGTCAACCATAAGCCAGCTACCTGATCCTATCAGGGTCAAACTCAGGTCATGAGTAGAATCTTGACTGCAGTTTAACCACTGTACCATGAACATTTTTCATGGACCTTACTGATTTTCATGGATCTTACTGACCTCAGTAAGATCCATAAAAATCAGTTGTTGCACAGCTTCTTGAGTCAAATGCAAATACAAACCTCTTCTCTTGTTTTCTTATTTTTTTCCCGTAGATCTTCATATTCACCAATAGCTGCAAAAACAAAACATTATTGTCTTAGTACTACATATTCATAAACATTACAATTCCAAAGCACTTGTGGGTGGAAGTGCTTGTGCCAAAATTTCATGGACAGTGCCTCTCTGCTCCATCTACAAAGCCCCTATGGTATCGTGATCACTTGTAAGTCTCCCAGTAACCATTATTAACGACTGACTGTATCAGGAATGTGGAACATATGGCCCCCTAGCTGTCCTTAGAACAATTCCTCTCAGCCTTCACTACAGGATCTACTGTCTAGAGCTGATGGGAAGCGCAGGTCAACAGGATCTAAAGCACCGCACTTCCCTGTCCCTGAACTATATCAATTATATTCACAGAAGTCACATTAATGAGGTCTCCAGTGCAGACTCCAGGTTCCAAATTGCACAGAGCACCTCCATGAATAAAGAAGAATCACAGCTGCCAACGGTAATTTTTCTCAAAGTAAAGGACAATGAAAATGGCAAAGGAAAGGAAGCAGTTCACATCTTCATTCTCCATCCTTTTCCTCACACGCAGACTGGACGATTCAAGAAGGTGACCCTAAATACAAAGCTCTACCTTTACGTGAAATGCAAATCAGACTCTGAGCTGTCTGTTAACAAATCACAAATTTTCTACAAATGATTGACTCATTGCTGAGCCTAAGATTATTCTCGTACTGATGTCATTTGGCCAACTTCATTTCCCCTCCTCTGATAGTCTACAACACATTTAGAACAACTACTAATTATTTATAGAGTGTATAAATATTTATAAAGAGTAACCTTAGTAAGAAATGTGAATTCAAACACAAGAGCCACTTGCCTAACCAAAACAGCCACTGAAATGCTTGACTTCAGTCAGGATGCAGTCCTATGCTTGCTGATTTTAGTAGCACCGTCACTTGTCAACAGGCATGCATAGGATTGTACTCTCAGTGCATCAGTGCACCAATACCCTATTCTAGTTTTCATTCAAAACTGAAGTGTCAGAATATCCATGGTTTCACCCATCTGTGTTTTTCATCTATAAACCCTAAGTGCTAAGGATTCTCCTGACAATTAAGATATACATTGGCCAGGCTCTCTCTGCATTTCTCTCCATGTTAAGAACACTATTGTTCAGTTAGATCATTGTTAACAAAACCTTGCAGCTAACAAGAACTTGGTAATCTATCAGAAAGAGAACATGATCCACTGTTAGATCACTGACCAATCTTCTTTTCTCCCTGTTTTACTGAAAATACTAGGAAAATCAGCTGTTAGTGTCCATACCTTCCAACTACGAATATAAGTCATTGCTTCCTTTGTTCTAATACACGAGAGCAAGTAATAGCAATTTTCTTCCTCATCTTGAAGACAGTGGGTTCTTTTTAGCAGTATTAACAAAAGTTTGCAAAGCAGCAAGAACAATTTTTGTGGAAAATTATAATGTCTCCTGCCCAACCCCTCCAGTCAGTCCAGAAGGATACCCTGGTTGATGGTATCAAAAACTGCGGAGAGATCCAGGAATAAGAACAGAGTTAGACTCTCCTGGTCATACACACACCCCTTAAATGGTCATCATGAATGGTCATCATCAATGCTATCTCAGTACACATAATAGCACCAATTTTTAAAGAGGGGAGACATTCAGAACTAATTATGCTGCTAGGAGATTTTTAGTTAATTTATTTTTATAGTTTTAGAGTGATAGTAAAGGAGGTACTTGAAATAACATGAAATATTTGTATTGTGGATATTTGCCATTGACTGTAACAAAGTCTGTCCGTCTGTCTCTCTGTCATAGTTGCAAGTTTATTATCTGATTGCTAATCCTCAGGTAGCCAAAATGGTGTCTACTTGGTTACCCAAACCCAATACATTACAATACATTTTTTTTAAAAAACCCACCACTACCATTTTCTTTCCATATTTTCAAAATTTGCTGCCACCTCACTCTGGCTAATGGTAAGGCTGACCCTGTAGACTCTAACACAAAAGCAGGCAGAAACCTTTTGCCAAATCAATGGAGACAGATGTACCAACTGATTGCCTTGATATGAAGCAGCTTCCTATTATCTGAGCACTTAGTGGCATCCACAGCACCATCAAAAACCAAATGGGAATCAGAACCCATATGAGAAGTTTGGAATATGACATTAGGACACACGTAACCAGCTAGGAATGGTTATGTTATGTTGTTATTGTTATGTATTGTTATATAGAGTCTGTGGGTTTTTAAAGTTTTACCTTGTAAACCACCCAGAGTGGTTAGTGCACACTAATGAGTCAGAATAAAATCAAATAAATAAACCGGAAGTTGGCAACAGGGCTTGAAGCTAGGTGGGCTGACTGAAAACTACAGTAGGACAGCCTCTGTTCATCTCGGATTCTCCTTTTATTTCCATCAGCTGCAGAGTATTAAACAGGCATTTAGTTAAAGACTCAGAGGTTCTTGTGGGAAGATAACAGCCAGATGCTGTGGCAAATTTGGTACAGGTCAGTAAAGTTTTTGTACCATTTATTGCAACAGCAGTTAGCCACTTGTGTGAAAGCAGGCTGATAATCGATGTTGGTTAGAAAAGGGGGAAAAGCCATGTAATCATTGCACAGAATCTGAAGGCAAGCATGGGTGATATCTTGCATAACTTGCATTAAACAAAGAAGGGTAGAGCACCTATCTGACCAGGATTTTTGGAATGTTAATGTTTCTTCTACACCACCCTGCTTGACCCATGTGGGGGTCAAAAAGCTAGGTTTATGATGGTTTAATGGTCTAATAAAGGTATCACACACTCTGCCTGATAAAGACCCAAGCAGGACCAAAAGCTAGTCTATTTTGTGATTATTATTTTTTAGTGGTTTTATAAAGGTATCATTCATATTCAACATCAGTTTGGTGCCATATGACATCTGAATGTACACTGTCCTGTAATCAGACAGGTCACTCAAAAGCCTGATTCAGAAAGGATTGGCAGATTTCAGTAGCTCTTGTTTCTAGGCCTATATGTTTTGGATACCACTAAGAAGCATGCTCTCATGAGAAGAGAGGACTCCCTGGAAAAGACCTTAATGTTAGGAAAGTGTGAAGGCAAGGGGAGAAGGGGACGACAGAGGATGAGATGGTTGGATAGTGTCACCGAAGCAACCAACATGAATCTGACCCAACTCTGGGAGGCAGTGGAAGATAGGAGAGCCTGGCGTGCTCTGGTCCATGGGGTCACGAAGAGTCGGACACAACTAAACGACTAAACGAACGAACGAAAGAAGCATGTTGGAAGCATATTTTAAGTCAATGGCAGATGACTGCTTTCTGCACTAAAGTTCCCACTAACTCCATATGAATAACCGTCTTTGGGTAGATCTAGGAATCCCAGAGCTATGGTCAAAGACATATGCTATTCCTTATCTGAGGGTGCCCACATAGGCACCCTAAATGGCCACTGGATTAATAAAGTAGTCCTGCAAACCTCAAGAAAAGGCACACTAGCCTTCCACTTGGTTCAGCCAATTAACGCAAAGGCTTTGAAATGAGTTGAACAGGCTCCAGACTTCTTCAAGGCCACACCTAGATATTTAGAGGAGTCAACTAGCTCCAGCTGTCGATTATCCAGCTCTGTGAGTATTTCTACCTTTTCTTTCCAAACACCACTATTGTATTTTCAGAATAATTAACTTGTAGGACTTCTTTGGTCCAATGTAAGCCTAGGGCTCTCAGAAATCTACATGCCTTTCTGTATGAAAGAGGAATGACATCACTGGCATACAGTAAGATGGAAAGCCCCCAATTTTTAAACAAGGGGGGGGAGCTCCACCCCAATCAGGAGGAAGTGATGATATTATTGAAATACCAATTAAATAGAAGAAATCCTAATAGGCCTTCTTGGTATTTTCCCTGATCAACAGGAACCACGCCTGAGATAACAGCCTCCCACGATGCTGACATGTTCATGAGAGTTACTGTATAGTCCCTGAGCCCCTAATCCACCACCTGTATTCAGGAGGGTCACTTTATGCCAAAGGTAAGACTGGGATATGGAACAAAAGTCTGCCCCAAACTCTACAAAAGCAATGTAAAAGTGAATGGCTTAGTGGGAATGTGCTTCAGAAGCAAGCTATGGTCATATCTACAACTTCACGACTTATCCAAAAGGTATCTTACCCTGAAGTTCTTATGGGCAGTTATTAGGATTAGATCTTGAAACTCCCTTGTGGAAAGGCACCCACCACTGCCATTAACCCAATCATCAGGGAACTTCACAGGATTATCAATAAATCATACAGGGCAGGTAACATTCAGATTAACCAGTCTGAGAGGATCCTATTCACCCAAGGGGCCTTTCCCCTTTCAATTTCCTTTGTTAACTGCTGCTGCAGTTGTTATTGTTGTCCTTGTTATACCGTGGTAGCAGCTGATGGGAGAGGAGGGTGGAAGCTCACTGAATCATTCCGTCAGTGGCATTTGCCAATCAGTTGGGCACAAAAGAAGGGAGGATAGGATCCCAAAATGAAAAAAAAAAGAGAAGGTGATATGGAAATCCAGGGTTGTGGAAAGCAGAGAGAGACACACACAGCAGGGTTCGGCGCTCAGGAGGGCAATCGCTTCCCTTTTGGGCGGCCCTTCCCTCTCTAAGCTCCGTTGCCAAGCCTGATCGCCAAGATGTAAGACGCGCCCTCCCCTCCCCTCCCTTCGTGTGCCACCCGGCGCCTGCCCGCCTGCCCTGCCTTTTCACTGTAGTCGCTTCCAAAGCGGCTCGACCCCCGGTTGCAGCAACGAGAATCGTACGCCCTGGTTTCGGCTAGGACTGAAGACCAAGGGCAGCAGCGGCAGGCCTTCCCAACCCTGCAGAGCGATCCCCTTCTCGCTGCCCCCCGGGCGCCGCCTGGCACGCACTTGCGGGCTCGCAGAGCTGGCCTGATGCCTCGCTTTCCTTGCCCCCTTACCTTGGTCTTTCAGGCTGCTGATCAACTGCAGCTGCCTCTCCTCCTGGGAGCCGTTCATTTCGTGCCCTTCTCCCCCTCCCTCCCGGAGCCCGAAAGCGTCTGGCTCAGGCAGGCAGCCGGAAATGCCCGATCGCCGCCGCCGCCGCCCCGCTCGGATCCAACAGGCGCCACTTTCACCTGGAGAGTCGAGACCGGGAGGTGG